ACTGCTGGCTCAGCCAATGCGGTCGCAGAAGCCAAGCCACGTCTGGTTATACGGCCCAAGCAAGTCCCCAAGGCAGAATCTCTACCTTCTCCTTGTCGACACTGTGGCGCGTGGCATTCCTATCGGGATTTCACATTTCGGCAACATTGTTACCAGAACTGTAATCAGGTGGGGCACCGTGATAGGTTCTGCCAATCCTCAATTTGTGTAAGCAAGCCCGCCCCCGCCAATTCCAACCCAAAGCGCCGTTTAAAACCAAAATGCAAGCGGAAGAGGAAGAACGGTTGTCGAGCACCAGATCAATTTGTTAATTTTTGTGAGCTTTCGGGCTCCTGCGGGAGTTCATCGTCAGAGATAAAAATATCCACGAAAAACAAGCAACAGTGATAGGGGGTTGGAGCCAATCAAACTTCATAGGGGGGAGGGAACTCATCAATAACCAGCGTCGAGCGTGCGGATATGCCTGCAGAGGGCGATTTATGCAGGCGCCAGCTAAATACATATGCTCACTGAGTTATCCTCCGAGGCCCAGGCTTCAATGAGTTCACGTTCTGTCTTGCTGCCAGCGTCAGCACTTATCCTCCTTGCTGCAAAGTCAAAATCGTGGCCCGTCTCTAGGTGTGGGCAGCCACTTGCTACAACGCATCCCCCGTCTGCCAGCCAGCTTATGTTCGTGTATGCACGAACCGAGCATGCGTTCAGCTTGTCCCGTATAGTTACAAGAACAGCTTAAGCATGGGATGCGGTACACTACCCCCGATTGTTCATTGGCCGACACTGATGATTAATGAGTTCTCCCCTCTCCATCCCTCCCCCTCCTATGACGTTTGATCGGCTCCTACCCCCTATAGCTGTTGCTTGTTTTTCGTGGACGCTTTTACTCTGACGACGGACTCTTGCAAGAGCCTGAAAGCTCAGGACAATAAACAAATTAAGGCCCTGCTCGACAACCCTTCTTCCTCTTCCATACAAATACCTGGAACGCAAACGTTTTCATTCATTCGCAAAATGCAAGTCGATAACTCAGAATATCGTCAATCCTCTGAGTCTCTTGGTCACATTCAAGTTTAACGCAGCTTATCGCCGGAAGTTCGTTAATCTATCTCTCAACGGTCACGCAGTTCGCCTACAATTGAACATTGCTTCAGACATGATCATCATCTCTGAGAGACTCGGGCAGTCACTTGCCACTCCCACAATGCAGCCGACTTCTCCGTCATCCACAAGTGTATGCGGTAGTCTTGTTCAGTTAATGGGGCAATTGTAATGCTGCGTTTCCTTCCGCGGCACTACCATCACTGCTACTTACAACATCACTAAGTCTAATCTCAATCTCCTTGGTCTCGACTGTATTTAACAGCTTAGATTGGCTGGTGGGCTGCTGCGTCTTGTTTGCAGTCAAGTGCAGATTGCTGCTTTACCTTCAGACCTCAACAAGGACATTCTCCAGCAGTTTGCTCCAGTGTTCCAAGACGGTCCGAGTCGTTGCACACATACGCTAGCCGTACTTCATCTCTGTGCTGGAATTCAACCAGTCTTCCGCCCAAAGACACCAGTTCCTTATGCAGCCTTGTCTCTTGTCGATGCTGAACTGAAGTGCCTGGAGGAAGTTGGAGT